CCACGTGGCGGGCCCTGGCCGCCGACCTCCGCGGTGAGTGCCGGGCACCCCGCGCCCGCCCCGGCGCCGCGAGCGGCGGCAGCTGCCGAGCCCGGCTGCCGCTCGCCTTGCCCGCAGGCTGCCCTCCTCGGTGGAGCCGCATCCTCGGGGGGTGCCCGGTGCCCTCGGCCGGCCGCGGGCTGGGTGCTGGGGCCAGGGGGCTCGAGGAGCTGCCCGTGGCTGGCCGTGAATCAGCAGCACGGCTCTGCTCGCAGCGGGTTTCGTAGACCGGCCGAGCGGGGCTGTTCCCGAGGATCCCGCGTGGTGGCCTGGCCGGCAGCCCCGCGACRTGGTGGTCGTTGGCTTCGTGGCAACTGGATGCGCTGGATGGAGCTCCCCACCTTGGAGCGGGAGTTGGTCCCCCGGGAYTGTGAGCCAGGCTGGGGCGCAGCGCGGGGAATCACGCCGCCCTCGGGCATCCCCAGCGCTGTGGAAGTAGGGACAGGGAGCCGCCGCCGGGGCCAAGCGCTGGACACGGCGGAAGGAGTCGCTGCTCTTCCCCGAGGTGGATTTTTGCGGGATTGGGCTTAATTGGGAGGACGTTGGCACGGTGGCARTCACGGGAGCCACGTGCCGGTGAGTCCCGTGGAGCGCACCTTGCCGGCGGCTGCCCYCGGAGCTGCCGCTCCGCGCGGGCTCGGCCTGGCCAGCCGGTTCCCCCGCTGCCATCGGTTTTGTGGCTTTAGCACCAGCGACCAGGCGGCGGGAAGAGTCTCTGCTTGGAGAACTTATAAGAAGTTTGGGAAGAAAGAGGCACCTTCCTCACCTGCCCCAGAGCTAGTAGTTCAGTGCCCCAGCAGTTCATGTGCCTTGCCACCCTCMAAACAGGATGGTCCGGGTGGCTCCTGCCCCCTTGGACACTCCCATGTAGAGTGGCATGAGCTGGGTTTGGGTGCCAGCGTGGCCTCCTCTCCCTTCCCGCTCCAAAGGCRAGGACGCGCTTCCTTTGGCTTGTTTCTTCAAGCAGAAAAACAAACCATTTTGGAAGTGTCTCTRTCTTGCCCGTGGCTCTTAGAGCTGCTGGCTGCGATGCCTTCTTGCCCGCTGTCTTCATTTGCTTCCTGCTACGTTTGCTTCCTTGCAGCCCTTGGGGAACCAGAGTGCAGGAAACTGCTGGGCATCCGCTRCTCTTTCCTGGGGACCTCGGGCTGAGGAGAGGCGTAGGGGGCACTGTGGAGAGGCCAGGAGCAGCCCCAGGGATGTGCCGTGGGGTCACGAGGCTGCAGAATGCCTGGAAAAAACAGGATGTTTTTTCAGGAGGGTGCACACTTAGGGACTGTGCTGAGAGGACAGGGCGGGAGAAGGCGCCAGGGATGGGCTAAGAGTGCGGATCCCACGCCTGGATGCTCGTGTTGGGTGTGGGAGAGGACGTGCCCGGCCCGTGGCACGTCTGGCACTGCAGAGCCTCAACGGCAGAGCCCAAAGCCCAGCCTGGCAGGCAGGAAAGCAGCTCAGCTTTGGGGGAAGGGGAGGCGGTTCCTCRGGGCTGTGGGTAGCAATCCCTCTGCCCCCGGCCGTGCCGGGCTCTGCTCCGCTCCACGTGCGGTGCCAGCTCGGGAGGTGCTGCAGCGAGGAGCGAGGCGAGCCAGTGGTCCTGGGGTCGCCCTCGGGACCTGAAGGCGCCCCGATGCCTCCGGGAGCTTTAGGGTGACTGCCTGTAAGCCCGGCCTCAGGTTTGCACTGCTGTAGCAATATCCAGCCTGGCGCTTGCAGCGTTTGGGTGTGTGGGAAGCAATGGGGACCATGTAGAACGGTGCCTCCCTAACTGGCATCCTCTCCTACTGCTGGGATCAGGCCCTGCTGTGGGGCAGGATGGAGGGGACAACCCTGGGGCTTCCCAAACCCATTTTCATGCCCCTTTGTCTGGAACTTCCTTGGAGCAAATAGACGCCCCGAGCTGCCTGTCAACCACAGCCCTGCCAGGCTGCTGCCGTGGCCGCTTCGGGGCTGGTGCTGCTGGGGCTGCCCCAGCTGTTGGGGCTGGCATGCCAGTGCCCCACAGCGCTGGCCTCCCTGGCCGCAGGCAGCGCCAGGCGGGTTACGCGGCGTCCCGGATGCAGCAGCCGGGAGAGCCGGGTTGGCGCCCGGCCGCCTGGCTCACGGCCACCGCCTGCAGCCAGGAGCYGCTGCCCGGGCAGCGGGTGCTGAGGGGCTCTCGGTGGGACGGACGGTGCCCCACGGCACCGCTTGTCTCTCCAAGCTGCCATCTCCCACTCGCTGCACGAGGCTCCGCGAGGATGGATTTTCCCCGCCTGTGCTCGAGCCGTCCTCTCCTCAGCAGCGCTGACCATGTCCCTGTATCCCCGCAGAGTGGAGACCTGCCGTGATGATTGCTGCCCTTGACTGCGCCGACGAGGCCAACCAGCAGGTGTGCATGGACTTCGGCATCACCGGATTCCCCACGCTCAAAGTAAGACCCGCTCCACAAGGGCCTTTTCCGTGCCCGCCTTCCCCAGCGCTGCTCGTTCTCCTGCTCAGTAGGGTTAACCACAGCCTTGTGCCAGTCTGTCCCCGTTGGCGCCGGGCCGCCCCCGTGGCCGCTGGAGGGGCTGGCCTGGGGCCGGCACGGCGGGTGGCCGTGGTGTTGTTGGCTGCCGGGGCACAGTCGCACCTCTTGATCCGCTGCCCAACAGCTTAGCTGTGTAAACACGTAGGATCCCAGTGGTTTCCAGCGCAAACAGAAGCCCACTCCAAGACAAGCAGTGGAGCCGCAGAAGCCGGCATGCCTGGGAAGCGAGAGGTGGAAGCTGAGATTACCTGGAGGAGGAGGAGGGAGACGGAGGCTTAGTTGTTAGCTCGCTCTTATGCTCGAAGCTGAGACATGTGCCAAGAGGGCCCTGCAAGGAGGATGTCGCGTGTCCTCTGCCTGCATCCCCCTCCTTGTGCTGCCTCGGGGCCTCTCTGTGAGACGCAGTCCACGAGAGAACAGTGAGGAAGAGCAGGGCCTTCCTCGCCATTCCCTGGGGGCCTTTGTGGCCCTGGGCTGCTCTCCAAAGGGAAGCAGGTGCCTGGATCCTCTCCAGCTCCCAGCGGGGGAGGCACACAGTTGCTTTTGCTCCGGAATGGGAAAAGGGACCGCGGTGTCTGGTGATACAAGCCGCCTCCAGTGCCACAGCCGGGATTTCCTTTGTGCTGGTGTGCATGGGAGCCCGCACGGGGCTGGCACTGCCACCAGCGAGCTCAGCCCCGCGATGGCCTTTCCTCCACGCTGGGTGACCCGCAGGCCTTGGCACTGGCCCGCGCGTGGTGTCCGTCCCCAAATCGGTGAATGTTTCCTGTGCTCAGTGGGGACCGACCCCTCAGCTCTGGCTGCGCTCACTGAAAGCAGGCGCCCGTGCAGTGGGCTCCGTCCATCACTGCGGCCCTCTGCACCGTGGCAGGGCCCCRGACTCCTCAAGTTCCGCTGCAGCCTAGCGGAGCCTCCTGGCCCTTTGCTCCCTGTCCCGGGCACTTTGCAGAAGCTGCTTGCAAAACTTGTGCCCTTTGCAGCAGCATCTTCCCTGCTGGGAGAGGGAACCGTGGTGGTGGGAGCAGCGGTGAGGGAGTGCGTGCTGCTGTGGCCTCGCCTGCCTCGTCCTGGCTTYTCCCAGTCTCCTTCGGACCCGAGTGCCTTCTGCAAACAGCACACGCTGCCAGCCCTGCTGAGCAAACAGGCGCTGTCGCGATGGGGCTGCGCCGGCGCTGCCACCTGCGCGGGGCCCTCACGGGCGGCTGCGTCGCGTGAGCAGGCGCTCCAGACGGGAAGCAGCCTGGGCAGAGCTGGGACAAACCCTTTGCTTCCTCTTTGCTGACGCTGTGTAGCAGAGAGCTGCCGTTGGCAAGAGCAGGAGGCTCTGGGCTGCCTCTGCAGGTCCCTCGGGAGCGCCGCCTTTGCGCCCACGCTCGGCCCAGCTGTGAGCGCCTCCCGGCCACGTGCCCACATCCCTGTCCCCGAGCGGGAGGCGGATGCGGCGCTGGCAGTGCCCGTCCTTGCTCAGCCCCACTGGCGGCCCCCTCAGCAGGAGTCGGTCAGGCTGCGACGGTGGAGGCCGCTCCAGCCCCAGGACAACGGGTCCATCCAGCCCATCCCCAGCAGGGCCCAGGCTTGGAAATGAAGCATTTCATCCTCCTTTTCCTAAGGCCTTCCTGGCCTCCGGCTCTCCTCCCTGTCTCCTGTGCACCCCTGTTCACTCCGGGCTCTCTGCTGTGGCTTTTTGTCTCTATCCTCATCCTCGAGATGTCTCGGCCTGGTGATGGCAGCAGTGGCACCTTGGGGCTTTTTGAGGTGGCCGGTGGAGGCGAGCGGTGTGTGCAGGGCTGTGCCTGAGAGACCCCCAGCCCATGTGTGGTGTTAATCAATGGTCTCTAATGCAATGACGGGCCTCAGTGTACCTAGGAGAGCTGCTGATAAGTCTGTGCCTTCTTCTCGTGCCAAATGGGCTTTAGAAAGCGATAAGCTGTGAAAGAGCCCGGGTGTTTGCTGTGGGGAAACTGAGACAGCAGGTGAGGAAGCCAAGGCGCAGGGAACCTGCCTGCTAGGCTGTCCGCGTGCCCCTGCCCGGCTCTCTCCAACCTTCTCTTGTTCTCTCTCTCAGTTTTTTAGAGCTTTTTCCAAGAAGGCAGAAGATGGGATAAGGATTTCTAGTGAGTATTCAAAGCCACTTTTACCTGGGGTGTGAGAAGCCCTGCGGCCCCACACACGAGGGCCGGAGGAGGGCAGCGCTGCCCAGTTGGACTGGGGTGGCAGGGGAGAAGCTGGCAGCCCTTGGGGCAATGCTCAGCCTGGCACCCACCGGCCTGAGATGAGCTGGGCTCGGTTGTGGAGCTCGGGAGCTTCCCTGACCGTTTGTGTGTCATCCCCCCGGCAGATCCCAGTACCGCGGTACGGGACCTGAGGCACAGCATCATCACCAACCTGGAGCAGAGCCACGATGCCTGGCCGCCCGCCTGTCCTCCGCTGGAGCCGGCAAGGTAGGGGTAACCACCAGTCCAAGGCCATGCACAGGGTGCGGAGCTGGGAGCTGGGAAGGAGGGCATGGCTCCCAGCGCTGCTTTGGGAGGGAGGGGACAGACAAGGCCATGTCAGAGGTGGAAACAAGTGTTTTTAGCTGGCAGCCACTGGATAACCTCCCTCCTGGTTCTGGGGAGAGCCTCGCAGCTGGATATGGAGTTTGGATAGCAAAGGGGCTGTTTCTAATGAAGGTCCTGAGCCAAAAGCAAGAGCAGAGCAGTTCCTCTGCTACCGCCCACGTTCCGGGGGAGATGTGAGTGGTCTAGGTGGGTTACAGCCATTTACAGCCTGCTTTATGGATTTTTAGCTGAAAAAAACAAACTGCTAAAAAAATGGAGGGACGTGGAAAACAGGGGAAATCTAGGACATCAGTTTGTCAATAGCAGGCAGTGCCGGCTTGAACGGATACCTTTCTGTGATAAGGTAACTGATAGTTGTTTCCAGGCGTGAGAAATGCGATAGACCCGATCTTGGGACTTTGGTGAAACGTTTGATGTATTGTCATCTAGGAGGGAGAAATGCAAGGCTGGATGGAGCAACTAAAGTCAGGCAACATGATTTCGTTCCTGGAGGGCTGCGAGATGCGGCACCAGTGATGGGCAAGGAGGGAGACATGAGCACCAGGGTGGTTGGTGCTGACACGTGCACAAGGCACCAGCCAAGCCGCCCACCTCGTGTGGGAGAGACTTGTGCCCTGACGTCCGGGATCTGACAAGGTGCTAGGACGTGGCTGGGACAGGACGGGCGACTCCTTGAGCCAGGCAGCCTGGAGCAGCCGGTTTCACCACCTCCCTCGTGTGTCTCCTAAGGAACCTGCTTGTCCGCCTGGGCTGAACTAGAGCAGGCAGTGGCAGGGCTGGGAAGGGACGTGGCGGTGTCACCGCCCTGAGCAAGGCCGGGCTCAGCTGCAGGGCCAGGCCCTGAGCGGCTCTTGTGCTGCTGTGTGCCAGCACAGAGCCTGGCTCGCCTCTGGCACAGGTGCTGCTGAGGGGGGACCTCCTCTGTGCTTGCACATTCTGGCTCTGCCCTGTAGAGAAGAGGGCCTCTGCCTTTGAAGTCCTTGCTGTGTTTTTCCCCTCTCCATTGTCTCCGTAGCCGTGTTTCTGCCTCCTTGGCTGGCCTGGGCAGGTTTCACGGAAGCCGTGAAGCAGAGCAGAAAATTGGGCTGGAAACTTCAGCAGGGAGAAGTTGTTACCTCAGCAAAGCCGAGCCCAGTGCCGCCATCCTGTGACAAATCCCTGCAGATGAGGGCTGAGCTCCTTTCATGCGAGAGGGCAAAACATCCGCCCGCATGGGAGGCACCCGCTGGGATCTCCTGGCGTGCGGCCGCTCACTCTGCTTCTCTCCCGCAGCACGGATGAGGTTCGCAGCTTCTTCCAGAGAAACAATGTCAAGTACCTGACGCTGATCTTCGAGGAGAGCAATTCCTTTGTGGGCAGAGAGGTGGGTGCAGCTGAAAGCAGGCGGTCTGGCAGGGGACAGGGAGCCTGGGCCAGGTGGCTGCTCACACGAAGGCAGGAACACCCGTGCAGGAGCTCTTGCTTTGAGGCACGCAGGCAGGTTGCAGAAAATGAGCTCTCCTTTCACACCCTGGATTGCGAGCTCTCGAGCAAATTGGGGAGGTTTGCTCATGTTTGTGTGCTGCTTTGAAGGCATGGGGTGTTGTACAGATGCTAAATAGCCCTGTGGTCCTCTCCACTGCAGAGGGAAATGGAGTGCAGTCCGGGCTGGCATGTCCTGCTCCCTGGCCCATCTAACCCCGGAGCTCCTTGGCTTGCAGGTGACGCTGGACATGCTGCAGTACGAGAACATCGCTGTGCGGAGGGTGCTGAGCAGCGAGGAGGAGCTTGTGAGGAAGTTTGGGGTGACCTCCTTCCCTTCCGCCTACCTGCTCCTCAGCAACGGCTCCTTCTCCCGCCTGCCCGTGTGAGTGTGGGGACACAGAGGGGAAGGTTCTGGCCGTGGAGGGCCAGGGCTTTGCGGTGACACTCATGTGCCCCATGGGCACAGGCTTTCCCCCTTACCACGGTCAGTGCTGTGCGTGTGCCAGAGGAAAAAGCCAGGTGGCTTCAGCGGAGAGCACCACCCCTCCCGCTGGGTTGGCAAGACCCACAGAGATGTTTTCCTGGGGGTGGAGGTACCTGTCGTGCCGATGGCTCTCCGTGGCCTTCCTCATTTGGGTCCCAGTGCCTGTGGAGCTACCCGGCCACAGGCTTTTCTTGCATCCCCACCAGTTGCCCTGCTGCTTGACAGATAAATCCACCACACTCTAAGGCTGGCAGGATACCAGGCTGGTGCCTCATCCTCTTCGGATTTCTAATTGCAGAGCAGTTCATTAGGCAGCACACAGTGGCCGGCTCGGAGCGGCTGGCGGGGAACAATAGGCACCCGCTCCCCGAGCGGCTCCTGCCACCGACTGGCACGTTTGAGAGGTGGCCAGATGGAGCCTCGGCGGGGCCAGCGGGGTGCCTGGTGGGGCCACAAGCTGCGGGCCACCCACGGCTGCCCCCGAAACACGCAGGATGTAGCACTCAGTGCCATCATGCCAGGGATGGGGGATGTTTCCCAGGGGGACCTGCTTGGCGTGAGCAGCAGCAGGTGAAGGAGCAGGAGAGGCAGCAGGAGAAACGGTGCCAGCTCTGCCTGGAGCAGAGCTATTGTTTGTCTGCCGCAGAGCTGGCGGAGGGGAAAATTGCTTGTGATGAAGCTGCCTCTCCACCATCTGCTTGTGGGTGCGCGCCGGCCTGCGAGGGGGGCAGCTCTGCGTTGCCTGCGTCCCCTCGGCCTTCCCGCCGCTGCCACCCGCTTTGCCCATGTGCCGGGTGGGCTTGGCGGGGACACCCTGCGCCCTGCAGCCCTCACCAGCCCCAACACCCTCCTCCCCTCTCTAGGGTGCTGGGGAGGGCTTGGTGCCCGGGGTGTCACAGCCTTGGATTCCACAATAAAAGATGTGCTGTGGACTATGTGCCAAGATACCTGCTGCTGTGGCAGATGGAGAACTTTAATCATCCTGTGTTCTGGAGTGGAGATGTCCCCAGCAGAGCAGGAGAGGTCGCAGAGCGGTTATATTAGGTCCACCTCAAAGTCTTGGGCCAAGTTTGCCCCTTTCCACAGCCAGCAGCCCTTTGGGATGGTGAGGGCCTTTGTTCACGCTTCTCCTTCCTTGCAGGCACATGGAGGCACGCTCCTTCTACACCTACTACTTGAGGATGCTCCCTGGCGTGACCCGGGGCTCTTACAAGCTGAATGTGACTTCCAGTGCTTCCAACCTGACAACCACAGCCCTTTTGAAGCATGCTGACCGGTGAGGGCCCCCTCGGCCTTGTGTGGCCCCCACGTGCACCAGCCCCTCCTCAAGGAGCCAGGTGCAGGTGATGGCTCAGTCATGTGGGGGCTGCAGGAATCTGGGGGAGAAAGACTTTGAGACAGGCAGGTGGGAGCAGGAGGAGGATCCGTGTCCCTGCAGGGCTGTGCACAGACCAAGGTGAGTCCTTGGTGAGTCAGTGGAGAGCCGAGACCATGACTTTCCCCCAGGAAAAGCCTCATATCACTGTGGCAAAGAAAATTCTCCTCCACGCAGCCAGGTCCCTTGGGGTACAGAGCTGCCTCTGGTCGAGTAAAACGCTCACACTCACCGTGCATGTTGTCCTGCTTCCCCAGCTCCAAGGTGTACATGGCCGACCTGGAGTCTGCGCTCCACTACTCGCTGCGGGTGGAGGTCACCCGGACCCGAGTCCTGTCGGGAGCTGCCCTGTCAGCCTTGAAGTGCTACGTGGCGCTGCTGGCTAAGGTGAGGACAGCGGTGGCCTCGCGCAGGGGGAGGAGTGCGGTGTGGCGGCCTCCCTGCCGCCGGGCAGCGAGGCCGGCCTGTGTTAGGAGGGCCGCAAGCTGAAGCCGAGCTGGGGCAGGAATTTGGGTCTCTGTGGGTCCCTTAATCCAGCAGGCTGCAAGTCTCAATGAGATCCTGTGGGCACCAGTGCTGCACCGTGGCCCTAGCTGCTGTTTTTCGGCATTGATGGGGACCTATCTGCGTTTCCGTCTATCCGTTTATACTGTTAAACGGAAGTGCAGGATGTGTGTGCATCCCCACGGGGCCGATAACGAAAGCCGTGCTGCTCACGGGCCTCTGCTGTGGCCCCTTACAACGTGAGCAGCGCTTTCTGCCGCTCGGCGAGTCCCTCGCCGCTTCCTGCGCCGTTCCCTGCCGTCCCCATCCCCGCAGAGCCCTCTGCAGCCAGCAGCAGGCCTGGCTCTGCCCTGCGCTTTGTTCCTGGTGCTTTCCTCTTCGTGCCACCTTCCGGACGGCTGCGCAACGGCAGCGTCCGCGCTGCTGCCCGCGGTGACTCAAGGCAGTGAGTTTGCTCAAGGAGCTTGGGCGAAGCTACTCGACAGAAGGCAAAGATGCAGTTTGCTCCTAGCCGAGTCGCGGATAAGATCCTTAATGGGGGAGATTCCTTAATCTCATGGGCTGGAGGTCCTAATGGGAGCCAGCAGCCAAAAGCAGGTGCCAGAAAGGTCCGGACAAGGATCCGGTTGGCCGCTGTTCGACGTGGGCAGCGGCACAAGCTGTTGCATCAAGGCAGAAGGTCCTTCCCAAAGAAATGTGGACCCTGAGCCAGGGCTGGTGGAGACAGCAGGAGCAAGCAGAGGGGCTTGTGCTGCCTAATTCTCATCTTGAATGCTCCATTTAGGGAGCTAGTCTCTGCAGGCTCCTTTTACATGCAGGAGAGAGAGGCTCCAGCACTGACTGTGCTCTGGAATAGCCTAATTTAGAGCTTCATCATGGCTTTATGCAAGGGACAGGGTGTGTATGTGAAGGGCGGCAGGGTTAGCACAGTGGGGCAGAAAGGAGGCGTAGGACGAGGTCAGGACCGAGGTGTGCTTGACCTGGCTGTGCTGAACCTATTTTTCCTCCTATTGCTACGCATTGCTGCCTTTGATATTTCTCCCCTTACAGAACATGAGGGATTTCATTAAATAAATACCCCATCCCACGAGTTGCCTGCTAGAGGTCAGATCCTCCAGAGGCTGCAGCGTTTTTCCATTGGGTGTGTGACGCCCCTCGCCGCATCCCATTGTGGAGTCAGGCTATAGGGAAGAGGGACAACTTCCAGATCCACGCAGAACTGTCCCAGCAAGCCCTGTCCCCAGCCAGGGGTGAGCGGCAGCACGCGGGTGTGCGGAGGAGGAAGGAGGGGAAGCTCCACGCGGGAGGATGCCAGGCGCTGCTTGAGGCAGCCCGAGGATGCTGAGCTAGTGCTGCCATTCCGGCTCTCCTCCACGGGTCGGAGCAGCGGCACCAGGATTGCTGCCAGCCCTGCCGCCGTCTCCATACAGGGGGAATTCACCCTCCCAAGGCCACCAGGGCCTGGATTTAACTGTTGCATTTCCAAGAAGTGCTTTGGTAAAGGACAGGAAAAGTAATGAGTGGGGAAAGAAATGATGACTGGAAAGCGAGGCATCATGTGGGAAAACCTCCTCTGGGGTGTGCAGGGAGAGGGAGGAACTTAGCTTTGCAGCACAAATCTCAGATCGCAGGTGAACTCCCCTGCCGAGTTTGGGCCTTTCAATGCAATTCATGGAATTGCTCAAAATCTCCGTGGACCCAGGTGGCTCTTGCAAAAGGTTCCTTTCTTTCGCTTCTCTGTTGCTTTTGCTCTCCCTGTCCCGCTGCTGTGCTCTTGCCCTCCTGTAACCCTGGTGGGGTCAGTCCCTCCGATGTCTGTGTCCATCCATCAGCAGCACACCCTCGCCAGCTTACCCTTCTCCCCAGAGCACGTGGAGTTTTAAAGTGCCAATGCTAATCGGATTTGTGCTGACTTATTGCCGGGATAGCTTTTGGTGCTCCTCAGATAATGCTGAGGGCCCACTGGGTCCCGGTGGCCGGGATGCAAACGGAGGAAGGGCCAAGCCGGGGCCGCCGCCGGGGCAAGTGTCGGGATGGCCGCTGTCCTCTCACCTGCGTTTCCCCTTCATGCAGTACTTCCCCGGCCGCCCTTTCGTCCAGACCTACCTGCAGGGCCTGGACAGCTGGCTGAGGAACTGGACGGAGCCCGAGCTGCCTCGTGATGTCCTGAAGGAGGCCATGAAGAACAAGGCAGACGTAAGGCAGCACCTGGTCCCCCTTCCCTTCGCTCCTGCTTCGCTTTAGCTTCCAGCTGCCTCACCCTATTTCCCTCCCTCCTTCAGGCCTCCCACCCGGCCATGCTGCCCACCAACGTGACCTGGGTGGGCTGCCAGGGCAGCGAGCCCCACTTCCGAGGCTACCCCTGCTCTCTCTGGACCCTCTTCCACCTGCTCACGCTCCAGGCCTTCCAGAGCGGCCCAGACAAAGGTATTGGTTTGGTGCCTCGGAGGAGGGATGCGGATGGTGCTTTGGGCACGCTGGGTCTGCATGCGTCCCTTCTCTGTCCTCCCCTAGAGCTGCCACTGGAGGTGCTGAGCACCATGCGCTGCTACGTCAGGAACTTCTTCGGGTGCCAGGAATGCGCCCAGCACTTTGAGGCCATGGCTGCCGAGTCCATGGACAAGGTGCAGGGCCGGCAGGAGGCCGTCTTCTGGCTCTGGTCGCACCACAACGAGGTGAACGCGCGGCTGGCCGGTAAGCATCTGGTGCCAGGGGGGACATGGGAAGGCCCCAAGCCTGGGAGAAGGGCTGTGGTGACGCGTGGGCAGCCTGGACTGGCGGGAGACAGAAGCTGGGACACTTTTCCAAGGGGAAGGGAGGAGATGTGGAAGCAGCTGTCCTGCTCGGCAGCACTTGGGAGCTGTGTCTGCTCTGGATCCTGTCGCAGCAGGGAGGCCTTGATCTCTCCTCCTGCCAAAGCTGCACTCGTAGGTGACCTGGAAGCAGCATCTCTCCTCATGCCGCTTTGCAGGCTGATGGAGCAGAGAGGATGGGGCCCCTGGCAGCTGTCCGTGCATCGTGGCCGCCCCCCTGCAGCCGCGCTTAGCCCTTATCCGGCTCCCCGCGGGGAGCTTTCCGGGACTGCCGCGTGCCCGGGACCTCCAAGCGGTCTCGCTCCCCTGCTGCCCAGCCCCAGCTGTATGGCCAGAGCCAGGGACAAAAACCGCGCTGCTGAGAAGGAGGCGAGCGAGTCCTGTTTGGACTGCGCGTTGGGGCCACCTCTCCCAGGAGCTTGGCTCCCATGGGTTCCATGGCCCCGGTGTGTGCTGCAGGGGCGTTTCCCACAGGGAAAGCCAAGGAGCAGTGCGCAGCGGGGGATAAAGCCCATTTTTGGCAGGAAACGGAGGGAAATTTCTCAGAAAAGGCTGTGCTTAGTTCCCCTCTACCAGTGAGCAAATCCCAGGATTGATTCCCCCTGCCAAGGAGCCCACAGCTGGCACCCTGCTTGTGTATCCCTGCAGCGAGGGCACTGTATCCCGATAGGAGCCCAGAGGTCTCCCATGACCCTGTTCCCTTGAGGCTGGAACTGGCTGGGAAGACTTGGGACTTTTGCAGCATTTGGGCAATGGGGGGAAATTGGTATCCGTAATCGGCAGGAGCTGCATTGGCACCCCAGGTCCCGTCCCTGCTGTCACCCAGGGCGGGGGCATCTCTAACCCCTGTGGCTGATCCTGTTCCTCCAGGTAGTGACACAGAGGACCCCAAGTTCCCCAAGCTGCAGTGGCCGCCGCCGGACATGTGTCCCCTGTGCCACAAGGAGGAGAGCGGGCTGCATGCGTGGGACGAGCCGGCCGTGCTGCGCTTCCTCGAGGCCCACTTCTCCCCGGGCAACATCGACCCGGGCTACACCGAGCCCGACACGGAGCTCCTGGCCAGGGAGAGGGCCACAGTGGCAGCCAACGTGGGGCTCAGCGCCAACCAGCCCATAGAAAGAGATGGAGAGCGGGAGAGGGACAAAGAGGACAAAGACAAGGAGGAGGAAGGCAAAGAGGAGGAGAAGCCGCCAGAGGAAGGTGTGGAAGGGGAGATGGGAGCTCGGGAGCGGCCGGGCTCCTCTGAGCTGCGCCGGCCCAGCATCGTGCGGCTGAGCGGCAGGGCGCGCGAGGCGCAGGACGACATCGTGGACCTGGACTCCTTCAGCGAGCAGCACTTCAAGAGCAAGGCGCTGCGGGCGGCCGGCAGGCGCCGGCGCCTCAGCAAGCGCGACACCCTCCCCCTGCACGTGGCGGCTGGCGGCCCGCGCGACTTCGACTACGCGGTGGGCTGGGAGCGCCCCCGCCACGGCGGCCTGGGCGCCTGGCGCCGCCCCGAGGAGGCCGCGGTGGGCGAGGGCCTGCGCCGCAGCCCCTGGTTCCGCGTGCTGGGCCTCGGCTTCTCCCGCGTGGACGTCAGCCTGTGCATCGTGCTCTACTTCCTCTCCTCCATGTGCCTGCTGGGCATGTACACCTTCTTCCGGCTCCGCATGCGCTCCCGCAAGGGCCGCCCGGGCTTCCCCACGGCCTGAGCCCAAGTGGGGAGCCGGCAGCCGGTGCCTGTGCCCCCGGGCAGCCTCTGCCCAGGGGCCACGTGCTGCTGGGGTGGCAGCAAGGCCGGCTCTGTGGTGGGGCAGGAGAGGAAGGATTTGCTGCTTCCCCACCGGGAGCTGCCCTGCTCTTGCAGCCGCCTTGCGCTGGGGTTTGGCTCCTGTTTCGGGCAGCACGGAAGGGGAGCTGGGTTGGTGTGCAGGGGCTGGGCTCCGTTCTCATTTCCCAAGGCAGAGCAGGACAAGAAGTCAGTGGCAGCAGCCAGCCAAGGAAGAGGCTGCGGAAAAGACACCGCATTCGCTCCCGTGTTCCCTGGGCTCAATCCTGGGCTACAGGAACGTGGCGGGGTCTCGCATTGAGATGACCAAGGGTGATAGAAGTGCAGCGCTGACCAAGGCCAGGTCTCCCCTGGCTGCAGGTGTCCAGGCCCCCGGCTTTGCTCCATGCTCGCTCCTCCTCCCCTCTGCACAGCCAAACCTTGCAGCCGTGGGGCTGCATTGGGGTTTCTCCCCCCGCCTCATGTTCCTCCGCTCTCCCAGCTGGCTGTGGCGGGGGCCGGAGCTTGGCCCCCCAGCCCTGCACTCACCTGCCTGCCCGTGCTCTCGCTCTCTCTTGCCTTGTAGTGCAATAAATTATTTTTGCCAACATGGGTGCTGCTGTGCTGCCTCATCCCATTCGCAGTGTCCGCCTGGCCCAGAGTCGCCGACAGCACTGGGAAACCAAGGGGTTGTGGAGCTCCTGCTGGAAAAGAAGTTGTCCAGAGGAATAAAACTGGGAATGGCAGACCGCGGCTCAACTCTGCCTCCCTGGCCCCATTTCTCCCTGCCTTTTTATCCTTGTTACGAATCATTAAGGAAAATGGTTGTTTTCCAGAGCCAGGTCTGGAGCCATCTGCTCTCCTGGCGCTGCCTAAATCCCCCTGTAACAAATTCATTGGGATTATGCTGCCCTCCCCTAATCCCAGCCCTTCCCCCAGCACAGGGGATTTAAAAGGATTAGAGACCAGCTGATAATAAACTTTATTAGAGGGAGGGGTGAGCGGGGGGTGTCAATCCGATTTGGAGCCTTTTTCTTGATATCTTCACTTTGCTCAGGTGGGAGAGAAGCCACTGGCTCTTGGGGCTCTCCAGGAGCCTTTGGCCGCTCCAGCGCCCTCCTCCCTCGCCTGGCCGCAGCATCTGGCTGCTTCCTCCATCCTTCTTTATCCCTCAGTGTCCTTCACACCTTCATCCAGCTCCAACAGCCCTGGATGCAGCTGGCTGCTATGGACAGGTGCCTCAGCCTGACCAAGATGCTGTAGGTGTCATGAGTGTGGGAGGTCTCTGCTGCCTGCAAAGCTCCCTCGCAGCCTGGTTTCCCCCAGGCTCATCCGCAGCGTGGATAACCCCAGGGGAGCCGGTGGGCTGGCTTGCTCGCTGCAGGACAGGTTGCTGGCCCAGCCGTCTCCGTCGCGGAGCCGCTGCCGGGCCAGGATTAGCGCTGCTGGGACGGCACGGGGTTAGTGCGAGCTGCAGGGAGCTGGGCTGGGATTAGCCTCCCCGGCACGACCAGGGAGAGATTTAGAGGGCCGGGGTGCGAAAGCCGCCTGTGGCTGCAGGAGAAAAGGGAGTCGGGCAAAGAGCCTTTCTGTAATCCTGTTTGGGGCCGTCCCCATCCTCCCGTGCGGAGCGGGGCTGAGGTGCCGGGGTGCGCCAGAGGGAGCAGCCAGGGATCACTGGGGAGTCCTGGGGTGGGGGGAGAGCATCTCAGGCAGCTCCCCAGGGCTCCTGGCGGGATGGTGCATCCTGGGTCCCCAGCTCTCCTGAGGGAGCCTCCGCCGAGCTGAACATGCGGGAGGGGGAGCCAAGCCCACCGCTAATTACCTAAATGGCCACGGGCTGTTGGGAGCTGCTGGCTATTCCCTAATAGCATTTGCCCCCGGTGCAATTGAATTTCCTGGGAAGCCCCCGCATCCCCCCCCCGGCCGACAGGACCTCCTCCCCAGCCCCGGTACAGAGCAGAGCGTCGCTGCCGTGGGCCCTGCCTGCACGGGGTCCATCCCGGGCGCCATCGGTAAGTGGGGACGCGTCTCCGTGGGGGCTGCTCTGGGCCAGGGGGAGCTGTTTTCCTTGGGGGGACCCTCCTGGATCCAGTGGGATCAGGTGATCCTCCACTTGCTGTGACACCTGACTGAGTCCTGGCAAACTCATTCTACGGAAGCCACTATCTTGCTGACAGAACTAATAATGACACTCAGAGCTAACACACACACACACATATATGTACATATACATATATGTGTATATATATAAATATATATATATTATATATATAAAGTATATACCTGTTTTTGTCTGTTTAGAGAGATTTTGTGCCCTTTTGCTCTGCCCAGTGGCTTGAGGTCTTTCCCCACATGTCAGGCTCAACCACAGGGCTGGGAGGCGTGAGGCTGGTGAGAAGCGGGATCTGGCAGGGCAGCCGCCCAAAGCAGCTCGGTGCTCGGACTGAGACGGCCGTTGGATGAGGCCGTAGCGCGAGGATGGGCTGGGAGGTCCTTCCCTGGGAGCTCCCGCAGGGCTGCGATGAGTGATAGGGCCCGGGGCGGCAGGGTCTGTATCAATCTGGCAGAGCGGAAAAATGAATGAAAATTGGATTCCCCGCAGAGCGGGGGGGCCTGAGCACCGGGTGGACGGGTGATAAATCAGCAGGAGCCGCAAGTGGAGGGGCAAGCTGGCGGCCAGGGGTGCTGGCATTAGGGAAAGAGCACCACAAAGGCAAGGGGGGCAAAGGGGCACCCGTCCATGCTGACGCCTCGGAGGGGCCTCACTGCTGCAACGAGCGTGCGCCGGTCTCTGGCAGAGCGGCCAGCTGGCGTTTTGCTGGGAAGATGGGGTGATCCCCCGGCGCAGACACTCCGTTCTTTGCGGATGTTCAGTAAAGGACTCGCTTGGGGGTTGCAGGTTTTTTTTGCAGCCCGGGGACCTCGTGGCGGCTCCCTGCCTCCGCGCGCTGATTGATGAGGTGCTCTGCAGCACTGCAGCGCCTGCCGTGCGGCCCCGCTCCCGCCGCCGGCGGCACCCACCGCCCGGCCCGGGCCTCCCCCAGCGCCTCCCTGCTCCCTCCGGGCTCCTGCAGCCCCTGCTCCTTCCCCAGCCTCTGGCTGCTGGCTCTTTTATGACAAAAATTTTAATTATTCCTAGTGTTATGGCATAGTTACATATTCTCAATGTGTCAGTGCAACGTAAAAATGCTTTCTTTTCTCCCTTTTTTTCCCCCACCTTCAGCTAATAATAAATAACGATAATAATATAATAACTAATAAAAATGCCAAGAATGATTATTACTGTTTTGGTCACTACTTTAACCTCCAGGACTGGGTTTGTCTGGGGGGAAAAAGGTGTTGGAGTGGGGGGGTCAGGTCAGATCAGTATCCCACCCGCACGGGGACATGCTTCCATGTCGCCTCTCCCGCTTCCATGTCGCGACAGCGCCTGCCGCGACAGAGCCGTGTCCCTTCCCCCCGCCTCATTTTCTAGCCGCCGGGGCGGGGCACCGGGAAGACCCCGCCCCTTCCGCGCAGACCCCGCCCCCTAGGGCCCTCAAGCCCCACCTCCGAGGGCCTCCAAGCCCCGCCCCCGGTGCACTCCGACGTGGCGATTGGCTGTCGGGGGGCGGCTTGCCCCGCCCCCCTGCGGGGCCGGTGACGTCAGGCGCGCTCCCCGCAGTGTGAATGAATCAAAGGCGGGTGGCGCGGTCCGGAGTGGCCCGGCCCGGTGCGGAGCGGAGCGGCCTCGTACGGCCCGGCCCGGCCCCGGCTCGCGGGCGCGGAGGTGCGAGGAGCCGCGCGGCTCCCGCCGCCGTCCGCTCGCTCCGTGCCGCCCCGTGGCAATAACATGATGCAGAGCTCCGCGCTCGCCGCCGACGGGGCCGTCAAGGGGCTCCCGGAGATGCTCGGCGTGCCCGTGCCCGTGCAACGTAAGGACGCGACGCTCCTTCCCTGCCGCGGCCGGGCGAGCGGGAGGCGGGATGCGCCGGGGGCTGCGTCCGCGTAGGCGACTTCCTTTATTCTACGTCTATAAGTCCGTGTGTGTATGCATATGTATGTGTATATGTATGCATTTTCCCCCTGTACAGTAGCGTTGAGAGCCGCCGACGTGGGAGTGAGCGGTGCGGAGAGCGGCACCACGGGGTGCGCAGCGGCCGCGCCGTCGGACAGCGGCTGCAGGGGCGGCTGGGCGGGCCACGCGTGTCAATGTGCGCGGCAGTGCTCCCCGCGGCGACATCCCATGTGTCGCGACATGCGGGGCCGCGAGGGTTCGGCGCTTCGCGCGGGGGTGCCCGGCCGGGGTCAACGGCGTTTTTAGGGAGCGGGGGGGACCTGCCTTCCCTTACCCCGCGCCCATCGGGCCCCGCAGGCTCCTGCGGGCAGCCCCGCTGTACGGGTGCCCCCTCCGCGCCCAGGCCGCGCACCCTGCGCCGGGCACCGCGCTGAGACGCGGGCTGGGGGCGATGAGACCCCCTCGGTTTAGGGGGCCCCTGCCCCAGGGTTCTCGGGGACTCCCCAACGGCGCGAACCCGGCCCCGGTCGCCGTTAATTCGTTTTCGGTCTTTATTTATTTGATTTTTATTCCCGGAGATTCCGGCCAGTACCACATGCGAGCGCCGGGACTGCCGTGAAGGCAGGGCCACTGCTCCCTCTTCCTCGCCTCCATCCCTGCTTTGGCTGCTTTTTCCTATATTTTTTTTTTCCTTCCTTTTTTTTTTTTTTTCTTTTTTTTTCTTTTTTTTTTTTTTTTTTTTTTTTTTTTTTTTTTTTTTTTTTCGTTTCTAACGTGCTAAATTCGCGTGTTCGACCTTATCCCACTGCGCCAGAGCAGAGGAGAAACTCGGAGAGGGGAAGGGAGATAGACCCAGCGGCAGCGCAGCCACAGGACTCCCTTCCGACCCCACATAACATTTGCTGCCGTGGTCCCGAAGGGCCAGAAAATTGGACTGGGCAAGAAATAAGGTGCCCAAATGACGTCGGAGCAGCGACCAGCCCGGCAAAACCTCCGCTTTGGCTCCTGAGCGCAGCTTGACCCTTCTCCGTGCCATTTCCATAGGGAAAGATTATTTGAGGGAGTAAATAATCGAACAGTTTAAATATATATATATGTGTGTGTGTGTATATATATAAAATTGTTATTAATTGAAGCACAAAAAAGGGTATAAAGGTAATTTGTGAGGGGGGTTCTAGGAAAGTTTCGCTGCTGTCTGTGGGGAAGAGCTAGCTCTCCCCTCGCTCGTGGCCGCCGCACGCTCGGGGCCGTGGCCTCCCTGCGGGATCCCGCGTGTGGGGCCAGATCTGGCGCGGGTGACACGGGGCCCTTTGGAGCCGGGGAAAATCCAGCTGCGCCGGGGGCATCGTCCCAGCAGCGCCTCCTTCTCCTGGAAGTGGGGGAGCCCCCGATTTGGGAAAAAAAATAGAAAGATCGGGGAGGCCTCTGCCTCACTGGCTGCGCTGTCGAGAGAAACACCCAGCGTTTTAATTCCTAGTTGCTCTTAAAGCCCAGGTTTCTCCCTCCATTTAAGCACCACCGAGGATCCTTAAGCGCGGAGGGACGGAGCTTCCGGAGCGCCGCGTTCCCCGGGCCGCGGG